TTAATATTACTAATTATAAAAATATTGACTTATTGCTAGTTTTAATAATAATTAACATTGGTATAAATTTTATAGTTGATTTTTTTTCCACGTACTTCCTAATCTTCAAAGGAGTAGTATGGATCCTTAGACGTACATTTGCTTTGTTTTTAACATCTCTTTGTTTGAATCTATGTTTATTTACATTAAAGGAAGTCATTTACATTAAAGAAACAATAAAACCACTCCATCTTTTCTGTTTCCAAAGGCACCAGCTTAGCTCACTGGGTGGGTCTCAAATTAACAGATTTAAAAATCAACACTGAAGCTACTCTAAATAGTAGATAAAATAATGTGATAATCTAATGCTATCTTTTATGAGAATGCCTTTAAAATATTTATTACATTTTAAATCAATTTAACATTGTTCTATTTTGATCTTTTTGTTGGTGTGGTATATATCGTTTGTTTGTTCATCCCTATTTAGTCTATTCTTTATGAATCATTTGAATGTTTTGCCTTTGGCAGTGAAATCTTGGTCTCGGCATAGCAGTATAAGCATTCTGTCACATTCTTTGTTTTTTTGCTGTAAGTAATTTATTTTTCATTTAGAATAGTAAAGCTGTTGCCTTATGAACTTGACTCTAGCAGAGCCATCAAACACCCCTTCCCATAGAGATAAAGAATATGAAGCTACAGAAGTAGGAAAAATAAGTCTAGCAACTAATGCAAGGATTACTTGGACGAATTTGAAAGTGGGAATAAGAAGTATCACCATCCTGATGTCCTGTTGTCTTTTCTCAGGAACTCTGTGTGAATGTAAAATGATTTGCTCGTTGACATATAGTCCCTGGTTCAAACGGAACTGAAGCAGGCATTGGGACTGAGACCTCACTGGCTGACTCCCAAGCCTTGGCAAAGTTGTGTGATCTTGTTTGCCTTGGCTGTGGGAAATAACATCAACCTGAACACTGAGGTTTAGGGGCAAAAGGTAACCAAGACCAGCACTTAGTTTTACAAAAAGAACATAAGTTTCTCTGATGTCTTCAAAGGGAAGCTACGGAAAAATCATTAAAAAACATTTTGAAGCATATGATAGGTGTCTTGGAAGTTATGGTAACTCAGTTACTGTCTAAACCAGCAGAAGAATGAAGAAAAGTGCTACTAAGTAGTATAGGCGTTTTCTCCAAAGTCATTCATTCACTTGATAAATCATAATTTCTCATAACTCTAACTAATTCAAAATGGATCAAAGACCCAAATATAAAATTAAAAACAAAGATCATGGAAGAAAAAATAGGGACAACACTAGGAGCCCTGATACATGGCATAAACAGAATACAAACCGTAAGTAACGATGTACAAACACCAGAAGAGAAACTAGATAACCAGGAGCTCCTAAAAATCAAACACCCCTGATCACTCTGTACTACTAAGAAATGTGTAATAGTTTCTTGAGAAAAAAATTATGCAGGTCTTTCCACTTAATTGTTTTCATGCTCTGCCTTGGTTTACTGCCACCAAATATGGTAGGAGTGCTGTTATTGAATGCAGTTTGTACTTAATTGTCCAGTTGCTAGAAAAACTCAAATTGGGAAGTCATAAAACCAAATAGATCCCTTAAACAATTTATTTTAACTTAAAACATGCAAATGTACGTTTATTCAATCATTCTTTTCAGTCTAGAGCTAAGGTTTGTCCTTTGAGTGTGGGCGATGTTTGCTGATGGGAGTTGAGTTCTTTCTTGCATGAAACTACATTTATTATACATCATCTATGATTTCTGGTTGCAGTTTTTTTAAAGTGAAACAAGTCCTTAAAAATACTTTCAAAGTAGAATTCTTCCAGAGTTTTATTATTTGTTCCCTAATCTTTTATAATTAGCTCAGGAATCTTGGTGGTGCAGTGGTTAAGAGTTACGCTTGCTAACCAAAAGGCCAGTGACGGTTCGAATCCACCAGCTGCTCCTTGGAAACCCTATGGGGCAGTTCTACTCTGTCCTATATGGTTGCTGTGAGTTGGAATTGACTCAACGGCAACTGGTTTGGTTTTTTGGTTTGTACCTAGTTTAAATGCAGATTTTTTTATGTTGTGAGTGATTTCCCTAGTTAATAGTCTTTCCAAGGAGCCCTGGTGACACAGTAGCTAAGAGCTCAGCTGCTAACCAAAAGATCAGCAGTTCAAATCCCCCAGCCGCTCCTTTGAAACCCTATGGGGCAGTTCTGCTCCATCCTGTAGGGCTGCTATGAGTCCGAATTGACTTGATGGCACTTAACAACAGTCTTTGCAAATTGCTCACCTTAGTTTTTCCACTCATAGTTTATCAGTTTATGTAATTATATATATATATATATACACACACACACACATACACACTATATATACACACATATACGTATAATAATGAAGTCACCTGGCAAAAACACATTTAGAAACAGACTCTTCGTGAAGTTTGTGGTAGGAGTAGAGGCACTCAAGTGGAGTAGGCTTCTAACCTCTTGGGTTCAGCTCTGAGCACCAGTCAGAATGCTTTCCAGGGGCAATGGAGAGAGTCGGCTAACTGAGCATCTCCTGTGTTGCGCTGACTAAACTGAGGAGCAGACTCCTCCCTGCGGAATCAGTGATCATCTGTAAGAACACAGATCTTCAGCCAACTGTACAGGGTCATTTCTTTGTTGGAAATCCACCATTTTCAGCCTTATCTTTTAATGATTCTTGAAATGTTACTGAATAAGTATTTGTTTGCAATAGGAACTGTTTAGCTTAAGTGTCTCGTTAGATTTTTTTTTCTCAATGTCAGAATTGAAATCTAAAGAAACTGTAGATTATGCATTGCTTCATTTGTCTGTAATATACAGTAAAAACTCATTACCAATCCCACTGCCGTTGAGTCGATTCCGACTCATAGCGACCCTATAGGACAGAGTAGAACTGTCCCACGGGTTTCCAAGGCTGTAGTCTTTATGGAAGCTGACTGCCATATCTTTCTCCTGCAGGGTGGCTGGTAGGCTCCAACTGCTGACCTTTTGGTTTGCAATCTAGCACTTAATCACTGCGCCACCAGGGCTCCTTATCCTTTCCTTCCTCTTTTATGAATACGTGACCTTAGGGAAGTCAGTCCACCTGTCAGAGGACTGCCTCCTCCCCTAGAGCAGGAATTGCCTGACCCCACAGTAGATGTCCAATAAACGTGCCAGTATAAAAATTCTTTATAATTTCTGTTTCTCACCTGTTGCTTAAATTTCTGCCTTTGCTTATGTTATTCTTGGGGTCCCTCTTCTTCACCTGGCTAAGACTTTGCTCCCTCCAGAATGCTGCTGACTACCTGGGTCAGATGCCCCTCCTTCCATCAGCAACATGGTACATTCTTGTTGCACAGAATCTTCCCTCTGCCTGCTATACCCACCCACTCCCTTTTCATGGCAAATGCCAATTTATTTTTCATCTACCAGCTCCAGTGTCATTTTCTCTTTGAAGCCATTCCTGACTCCTTGTACAGTACTCCTTCCTCGCTGTACCTCACTTTTCCCTGTATACATCTCTCCCTGTATCACCGCACATTATATCGTCGTTAGTTTATGGCTGTCTCCCACTGAGGCATAAAATCTAGAGGTTGGGGGTCCAGCCTTGATTTCCCCAGGATGTCTGGAACATAGTGGCTACTTATCAAATGCCTGTTGAACTGAATAAATCGACAAAATGGAATAATCGTAATACATGTCCTCTGTATCTCACAAGTTTGTTGTTAGCCCCTCCCCCCCCCCCAAAAAAATAGCATTGTCAGGACTTCGTAAACTATGAAACACTGCTCAAAAGATCATTTTCTTCCTTGCCTAATCAACCAGCAGTTTGCTGAATAATGTTTTATGATTAGACCATGGATCAAGGGGCTAGCTTCTTCCTTAAGCCTTTTTTGGCTCATGAACACCTTTGAAGATTTGACAGAGCTTTGAAAAATCTCCCTAGCAGGGGAAAGTGCACGTGTCAGGAAGATTTGAAAACACTGCAAGAATTCGCATGTTCCTAAAGCTCATCCACGTGCTTTCTGGTTCATGAACACCAGGTTAAGAATCCTTGTTATAACTAACTTTACAGCCACAAGTTATCAGGCAAATAAATAATACTAATTATATAATAATAAATGCTGTCCAGGCCTGAGATCACCTCTGGAGAAAAAGGAGGCTTAGTTAAACCTAGAGGTTGACCACAGACCTACAAGAGGAGAAGCGACTCACTGGCTCTAAGGGACAGGTGTTAAAAAGGTGAATAAAAATGTCACATTTAAGAAGCAGAGGCACTGTCATGGATTGAATTATGTCCCCCCCAAAAATGTATGTCAACTTGGTTAGGCCGTAATTCTCAGTATTGTGTGGTTGTCCTCCATTTTGTGATTGATGTAATTTTCCTATGTGTTGTAACTCCTGATCTCTGCCTGTGGTTAATGAGGCAAAATTAGATTATGTTAAAGAGTATTAGGGTGAGATGTAACATCTTTACTCAGGCCACATCCCTAACCCAATGTAAAGGGAGTTTCCCTGGGGTGTGGCCTGCACCACCTTTTATCTTACACGAGATTAAAGGGAAGGGAGCAGAGAGTTGGGAACCTCATACTACCAAGAAAGCAGCGTTGAGAGCAGAATGCGTCTTTTTGACCTGGGGTCCCTGTGCTGAGAAGCTCCTAGTCTAGGGGAAGATTCATGACAAGCACCCTCCTCCAGAGCCCACAGAGAAAGCCTTACCCTGGAGCTGCAGCCCAGAATTTGGACTTCTAGTCTTCTAGACTGTGAGAGAATAAACTTGTTTGTTGAAGCCATCTACCTGTGGCATTTCTGTTACAGTAGCACTAGATGACTAAGACAGGCATGAGTAAGTTTCCTTGGAGCTTGAGTTGTGGGGAATGCTAGCAATAAGTGTGCAGTTTATCCAACCACGTGCTCAAGCGTCTGTTTGAGTTGTCAGTACAAATTATTGTTATAGCGAAAGAAAACAGTAGTAAAATCTTGTTTTTCATCTTTGAACAGGCGCCACCTAACCTGGATACAGTGGGCCTCCCTCCTGATTCTGTTTTTGTCTATAGTGGCCCTGACTGCTGGAGCCAAAACCTCACAGCATAACTTGGCAGGACATGGATTTCATCATGATGCCTTCTTCCACCCATCCAATTCCTGCCTGCTTTTCAAACATGAATGTCCCAGAAAAGACAATTGCACAGCAAAGGAGTGGGCTTTTGCTGAAGCTAAGTGGAATGCCACCGCCAGCGTTTTCAGTCACTTCCATCTTGGCTTGGGCCACGTGCTTATTATAGTGCAGTGTTTTCTTTCCTCAATGGCCAATATCTACAGTGAAAAGATCCTGAAGGAGGGGAAGCAGCTTGCTGAAAGCATCTTCATCCAGAACAGCAAACTCTATTTCTTTGGCGTTCTTTTTAATGTGCTCACCTTGAGCCTTCAGAGCAGTAACCGCAACCAGATTAAGAACTGCGGGTTGTTTTTTGGCCACAATGTGTTTTCAGTAGCCCTTATTTTTGTCACTGCATTCCAGGGTCTCTCAGTGGCTTTCATCTTGAAGTTCCTGGATAACATGTTCCATGTTTTGATGGCCCAGGTCACCACTGTCATCATCACCACAGTGTCCGTCCTAGTGTTTGACTTCAGGCCCTCCCTGGAGTTTTTCTTGGAAGCCCCATCAGTCCTTCTCTCTATATTTATTTATAATGCCAGCAAGCCTCAAGGTCTGGAACACACATCTAGACAAGAGAGGATCCGAGATCTGAGTGGCAGTCTTTGGGAGCGCTCCAGTGGGGTAAGTTGTGAGGATGTTGCTTTTTTGCCTGTTCTTAAATTCCAAGTATGGTTATTCAGAAATAAAGATCTGATTTATCAAAGAATACATTGGATATCTGTGACTTTTAAAAATCAGTCAACCAGCATTCATTGGACTCCTGATGTGTGCCAGGACTTGTGATAAATGCTGTCAAGTATGGCGAAAAAGTATAAACTGTGGCCTCAAGGACCTTACAAGTTAGTTGTATCATAGAATACTATAGCCTCACAAAGCCAGGAGATGCCTCGCAAGTTATCTTGTCCAGTCTCCCTAATTTTGCAAGTGAAGAAGATGTCTCAGAGGCTAAGTGGTTTACAGCTAATATGTGAAGAACTAGTATTAGACCCGTGTGGTCTGACTCCTAGTCTACTGCTTCTTCCACTCCACCTTAGTTGAGGAGACAAGCCTCATTCATAAGAAAAATTGATCTTATACATTGATAAGTCTTGTCAAATAGAGAACCTGGCTCCTTAATTCTCCCTGTAGTTACTGATAAACCAGTGTGCCAGAAGAGCTAGGCCTGTTAATCCCACTAAGAAGAACGTTTTCAAACAGATCTCTGCAAGTAGGAGAAAAACGTTTTCTAGACAAATACTTATGCTGTTATTCTGAATATCTACCAGTTGCATGTAGTTGTTTTTAGAAGGGTCTGTCAGTCATGTTGTTAGCAAATTAATAATCTTTTAAAGATTCAATTAAGGAGTTAAATATATGTTTAAATAAAAAAATAGACTCCTCTATCAAGCTTTAGATTTCAGTTTTCATAAGCACACAGAATCTGAAATATTTCACATAGAAACACTTCACTTACGGGGAAAATGAAGTTGTTCCTCTGTAGAGCCATGGTATAGTTTAGCCTGATGTAATGGCCCTCAGATGGTGACACCTTAGGATGAAAAATTGGAGGCACGGCTTCCAAATGCCCTGCTCTCAGAAGTCCTTCATTCTTTTCCAGCAGACTGATAACACTGTTTGCCCTATTTTTTCAGTAAAGGAAAATCAGTGTAGGTAACAAGGCCTAATTTTTACCTTTCTCCACCTTTTAGTTATTTCCCCTCAAGACCAGCAGAGGGTGCTTTCGTTCATACTGTTAACTTTGAAATCCAAGTACTGAGTGCATTTCACTTTTTTATTATCTCATTATACTTCTAAAATTAACTTTGCAAGAACTTAAGTACTTACTTAACTTCATTTGATCATATTATATTTATACTTTAATTAAATAAGACACGTGACTTGTAAGTCATCATTAAGCAATCATTAAAAATAGTGTATCTCTAGTTTTGTTTTAATTACTGATTTCGTGTTTTCTCATAGGATGGAGAAGAACTGGAAAGGCTTACCAAACCCAAGAGTGATAATGAGTCAGATGAAGATGCTTTCTAATTAGTACCCAGACAATTGGCAGCTCTCACTAACTTAATATTCACGTTTGTAATATTTATCTTTTCATTTTGATAAACTAACAGTGTTTCTAAAATACAGCTCTTTGCATATATCTAACCACTTGCTGAACAGCTCCATCCAAGGCTTAAAGTACCTGAAGACTGAAAAGTCTGAGGGACTGACAAAGGAGTAATAGAGTGGAGACTGCAGCAGTGGCCCAGTGCTTGATAAGCCAACAAGGTATATTTACAGATTGTTTTCCTTGTCTTCACAGTTCCAAAAAGCTTGCAGTAATCACATTAGCTGTACCCTGTAAATACACAAATGGAAGTCAGTCTACCAGACACTGATATTTCTGCAGTTCTAGTCTGCATGCCAGAGTCTTCCCTTTTTTATAACTACAAACTTCACCTAGGTTGTCCTTTGAATTTTGAGGCCTTAGAGATACTCATTTTGTAACTAAAAAACAACAGGACTCTTTCTTAAAAATGTAGTTGAAGAACCTAAATACACCATAGACTTGGGGGTGATACTGTCTTTGCTAAATGTTCTGCTGAAGAAGCAATTTTTAGGAATTCATGGGAAATTTGATTTTATTATTATCTTTTAATGTTTTTCTGCACGAATAAGCGTCAGTTTAAGTGAAAGTTGTTTCCCAGTCACCAGTTGCCGCTTATACTTCACATCACTTGAAGAAGCCGTCTTGTGTGTTTCTCCCAGTTAGTATATCACAAAATCTTGACCTCGTTACTCTTGCATTGTTGCATTTTGGAGAATTAATAAGTAATTTGATTTTATTATTTATTAGTTAGAGCTTGTGACTATTTTGTGTATTTGTCATATCCTGTTCCCAAAGTTAAGACACTGAGTTTAGAATCATCCAGTAAGACTAATGCTTAAGAATCCTTGTAAAGGGATTACTTTGCAAACAAGTATTGACTTTCATTGAAATGTGAATAGTGTTACTCTAAGAGCCAGTAAAATAAAGCATTTTACAGTAATCATTTTTCACACTTACCGTGCATGATATTTTTTAAGGTGCTTTTGCATGCAACACATGGACTTTATAAGGCAGAGAAGTCACGTGATAGAAAACTAAAAAAAACAAGGCAACAGAAGCGACTTGCCCCGTGTCATGCAGCTGGATGGTGATAGAAGTGTAGGCCTTGGCTAGTGGGTCTTTATGTTGACAGGTACCACACTGTGAATGGGAACTTTAAGGTGTCATTGCAGTGCAGCCTGTATGTATTTCTTCTCTTCTTTCCCCTCATTTTCATGCAAATGAATATAAAATGAACTTTTTAAAAAAAACCTGTTGCCATTGAGTCGATTCTGACTCATAGGGAGTCTATAGGAAGAGTAGAACTACCCCACAGGGTTTCCAGGACTATAATCTACACAGAAGCAGGCTGCCATATCTTTCTCTCGTGGAGCTGCTAGTGGGTTCAAACTGCCAACCTTTTTCATTAGCAGCTGAGGATTTCAGTACTGTGCCACCAGCATTCCTTAGGTAAAATACTGCAATTTATTTCATATTGTATATCAATAATAACTAAAAAAATTACTTGGGAGAGTTCCAGAAAAATAGCGCTCTAGGCAGAAGCAGCACGCCATACCTCCACAACAAAGGTCCGA